TGTAGGCAGAATGTTTGTTGCTTAAACTGATGTTTTCCTTGATCTTTACATGTCCGCGACAGCAGCGTATCAGTACGTGTATCCACCGGTGTAGTTTTGTGTTACGGGTGTTTGCTTTTTGCCTTCAGCATTGTATCTGCACAGAGCCCGCGGCGGCAGCCATGGGCCTGTCCGCGTCCTCCCCGGCGGCCGCGCCGGCCCCGGGCGCATCCGGGCAACGCGACGCGGCGGCTGCACCTGCGGAATGTCCCGTGCATCAGGAAAAAAGAAGTGGTAATTATTTCCCAGACTTTAGTAAACCCACACGTGGAAAAAAGATTGAAGAATGTGCTGCTAGAGAACATGTAGCTGGAGAAAGGCAGCAGAAGGGCAGCTCCAGATGAATGTCTGGAGAAGGGAGACAGCAGCTCTTCTGTTGACACAATCAACACGTGTTGGATTAGCATTGCTGTGGAAATCTCGGCTACAAACAGCTCAGTAGAGGGGCCAGCATGGGATGGGGAATGAGCATTCAAGGACTACATAAGAATTCTAGAATTTACCATGGTGATGGGTCCTAAAATAGGCAGGAAAGAGAATAGTTAAAACTGTTGCCAAGCTCAGAAGAAAAAGCAAAGTACCAGTTTGTATTTAAATGAACTGTTCATTCAATGAACTGTTTTCCATTTCCTGCCATGTCTTAGAGTTAGTATTCTATAGCAAAATTTATACTGTTTTTCCTGTATTTCAGGTTGTCCAATGCACATGAAGACTCCTGAGCGCAGAACTGAGAACACAGACAATGTTCCTGCACATCAAGAAAGAGCATATGAATTTGTAGCCTGTCCAATGAATTCTGGTGCTTCTCAAGTGAAAGATGACATAGATCCTAACAACATGGTAACTTTTGCTTATTTCAGATGTTTTCTTCAGTCTTGTTTCTTTTGAAATACTATCCCCAAAATGTAAATAGTCATACTGTTCAAGGTGGAAACTCTAGCCATTAACGTTATTTTTAAATTTTTAACACTGCTTGTTCTTGTTTTGTATGCAAATATTTGTATAAAACCATGTTCGATCTTATTTAACATTCTCTTTTTCAAATTCACATCTTTTTGGTGAAAGATGGCCTTTCAGTTTATAAGTAACTTTTGCTGTCAATTTCTGTTTGTTAGTTACATGCACGGTTTTTTATGCCACATCAGTGGTTTCTGTGTAGTGGTATGGGTAAATTCTGATTCAGAGCTCTCCAAAATTTCCTTTTGATTTACAAAAAGCACTGCTGTTTTGAAAGTTGAATTTTCAACACAGGGGATTGTTAGTCTTCAGATGACAAAGTTATGCAGAGTTTTACTGTGAAAGCAAAAAGTAATTTTAGTGGGCTTGTATAGAGGCTGAACTTGGTGTTTGTAGCAGCTTATTATTTATGCTTTGATATTTTCAAGCACTGTAACATTAAAATAATTCCTGCTATAGTTGTTGATTGTTCTTGTTTTCTAGATGCCTCCTCCTAATCAGCAGCCATCCCCAGATCAACCATTTCCATTGTCAACTGTTAGAGAAGAATCTTCCATTCCTAGAGCACATTCTGACAAGAAATGGGTCTACCCTTCAGAGCAAATGTTCTGGAATGCTATGCTAAGAAAAGGGTAACTACATTGTGAATTATCAGATGGAGTCTGTGAGTCTGAAATTCAGGAAGTAATATCATTAGTTATTATTCATCAATATTATTTAAAAGTTTGTAGACTCTAAGCAGCAATAGTTAGCTCTTTTAAAAATTGCTATGCTTATAAACAGCTTTATTTTTAAGGGGAAGCTGATCTCAAAAGACCTGGTCTCTTCTAGAAATGGTAGGTAATATCAGGCAACTGCCACTAGCTCACAACATTTTCTTAAATATCAGTGCATAGGCATTGACAAATTTTGCATGATTGTCAGCTTTCAGACATAAATCAGCTTCATGCTAATCCTGTAAATCAATGGCAAAAGTTCTGTGATTATGAGAACATGTAACCTGAATTTGCAGAGTTCATAAGAACGTGACATTGGTTGCACAAGTAGGTCAGTCTTTGCAAAAATTCAGTGTAGGCAACATTTAACTAAATCATAAATGTAGCCCCTGATCTAAAAACGCTTCTGTGTTGCTGTCTCCTCATTGTTCTGTAATTATTAATATTTTTTGTCCTTCCTGAGACAGATCAACTGTAAAGGTGGTTACTATTAAAGCAACAGTATGTCAAATGTGTCAATGTATTTGATGTTACCCCTGTTGAAAAGGAAGCACATGCAGAGTCATAGTGCAGGGTCAGAGAGATGAAAGGCAAAATGCACTGAATACACAACTTCAGTGCCTTAGGAATGCAAGGGGGATTTCTGCTAAGCATGTTCGGAATACTGTGGATGTGCTGGTGTTTGCACACTCTGATAACTTTCTGATCCAGTTAAGCTATTTATTTAACTAACTAGGATTTGTTGTTCTTTATGACTGTAACTTCTATAAGATGAAGTGGTTCTTAAGATGCTTAAGCAGATGAACCAGTGATTTCTGTACTTGCTTTGTGTCTTTGCATGAAACCTTAAATCTCTTGATTTAAAAGCCCGTCAGGTAAACTGAGGAAGGTGGAGGTGTTATACTATAATGTATAGTAGTTCTAATGTATATGCTTGTAAGCTGTTCAAATTCTTAATTTTTTGTAGGTGGAGATGGAAAGATGATGACATAACAAGTGAAGACATGACCAACATCATTAAGATTCACAACCAAAATAATGAGCAAGCTTGGAAAGAAATTTTGAAATGGGAAGCTCTTCATGCTGTGTATGTACACATGAAATGAAAAGCAGAACCTTTGGTTTGGCTCTTGCTTTTGTAATGGGTTAAAAATAGAATGTCTCTAGTGTTTGCAGAAATATTCTGGTGCTGATATGCCCCAAAAGTTATCATCCTGTAGGAGCCTGCATTTTCATTAATAGGGAGGAAGATTATCCTGATCTTAACTAGAACTGAACAGTTACTATGTTGATAAAACTGATTAGTATTTTGATGGTATGAGTTTAGTGTGGATTTGGAGAAATTAATTTCTTATTCTGTCTAGTTGGGAATAATTTAATTGAAATCTTTATGTTATGAGAAGGTACAAGATGTAAGCTTACACTAAAGTGGCTGGTACAAAACAAGTTGTCACTTTTTAGGTAAGTATAATCCCTGTTCCTAGAAGAGACAGACTGTATGTAGAAATCCTCTGAAATTCTGTGATCTTTGTTACACAGTAGTTTGGATTACAGTTTTCTGTTCTTTATTAATCTGTGGATCGGATTTTCTGAGAACTGCTCTGTTGATAATCAGAGCAGTGGTGTGGAGCATATGGAAGGTACTTTATCATACCAGCAGTTAGTGCTGTCAGAAACTGGGGGACTTTTCAAGCCTTTTAAAAAAACAAAGCTGGTTTAGATCACTAGTAATTTATTTCTTCTGTTGCTCTTTCTCCTATCTAGGTTTTCTGTTACTAAAACAAGTTACCGTAGTTGTTTCAAAACTGAAAATAAGACTGTTTGTAAAGGTAATAACTACTTTCCTTTTTAATTGTGTGGACAGGGAGTGCCCATGTGGACCATCACTGATGCGGTTTGGAGGCAAAGCAAAGGAGTATTCACCAAGAGCCAGAATACGTTCATGGATGGGGTATGTGGGCAGGAAAGAACGTCTTCCAGTGAGGTGGGAGGGTAGGGATACATGTCTGAAAACATGGTATAGAATTAATTTAAGGTATTTCAGAACTGAAATTGCAAGTTATAATTACCAGAAGGTAGAAGTACTAGTGGGGATCTTATATCAGGATCTGGATAAAGAAACCTTAAATAGGATTTTTGCTTCCTCTCCCAGGTTTATAATACCCATTAAAATACCTGCATGGTCTATTGTCTGTCTTTCCAGGTATGAACTTCCCTTTGACAGGCATGATTGGATTGTTGACCGATGTGGTAAAGAAGTGCGGTACGTTATTGATTACTACGATGGCGGAGCAGTAGATAAGAACTACCAGTTCACTGTCCTGGATGTTCGCCCTGCCTTTGACTCTCTGTCAGCTGTGTGGGACAGAATGAAGGTAGCCTGGTGGCGGTGGACTTCGTAACTGCTCCTGTGGGGTGCAGTCAAAAAGTAAACCACTTTCCTGCTAGACTAAGGATAAGTGTATACTAGGACTTGGAAGTTCACTGCAACTGTCATTATTTTCATCATCACCACTGTTCTTTGGCATTGGGGAATGGGGAAATCTGTTGTTCAGTACACTGCTGCTTTATGTTTTTTTGAATTAAATAATAAAGTTATAGTAGCAAAAAACCGTATCGTAATTTTCTTAAGAGCTGGGAAATATTTTATTACTTTGCACAGATCCCTTGTAAGCTTGCTGCCTTTTCATTTCATGACTCCAGAGCTGCACCAAATACATGAGGTTTCTGATTCTGACTGGAGTTTTGAGTATTATTTAAATAGTGTAAACTGGAAATTAAAAAAAAATTCAGATAGTTACAGTGTTTGAATACGTAGATGATGAATAAAGCATAATAGATCTGGACTGTTTCAAAATGCATGTTTTATTAACTCTATAAAACCATGTATTTGTTTTCAGATGGACACTTTTATCTGTTCAAATACATGCTTCCTCAGAAAACTTCAGTCGAGTTTATTCAGTTAAAGTATAGTGTAATAGGAGTATTTTAAAAGGTATGTTAAGTTGAATATGCAGATACTATACTCATGCCTTAATCTGCAGTTTGTCTTGGAACAGAAGAACATCTGTTAGAAGCAGGATATTAGTGTCAGTTACTTTTAAAACAAAGTTTCTAAAAGGAGATGGAATTGATACTTAACAGCTATTTATTTGTGTATTTAAAAGGTTTGTTTTCAGATGTAAGGATACTATTTTCTTTTATTCTCATGGCTTTTACTTTGTCTTGTTTCATGCATTTGGGACAGATGTAAACCTTATTTAAAGAAACTCATGCAGTGCATCTTTATTTTGGATCTTAGCCTTATCAGCTGTATCATGGTGTGTTTTTTAATACAATAGGGAATCGCACAAGGGTGTATGACCACACAGTCATACACATTTCTGCATATTTGTGAGTGTGAGGCATATTGCACATGCGTGTATAATTTAGCTAAAAGGGTATCAAAAGTACCAAGTAACAAGGTTGATTGGAGTGTTTCCTGAGAGTGATGTATGTTAATGCTGTGTGGCTTAAAGATTTGATTAATGTTTGTGTCTAATAAGGGAAGCTAAGTTATTTTTTTAAGTCTTCCACTGTAATAGCTTTAAATTTGCATGGCTTGGTAAATTGCAGATGACACATAACCCTAAATTTAAATCACTCTTCCCTTTCAGCATATATTACTCTTGAGAATGAGTCCTCCATGCAGAACACTAGGGAACAGAAGAGAGTACTATGTTGTTGCAGCTTCTAAAATGGAGAAGCTTCCCTCAATGAAACTTCACAACCTTAACTGGGAGCAAGCTGTAAATTCATTTTCCAAAAGTGGTTGTTTTGAACTGACATTGGAAGCTTTTTTTTTCCTTTTCCTGAGGGAAAGTCCCTCAGTGTTTCAGTAAAGTAACTACCTATTTAGGAAAAAGTTATTCTGGGAATTTTTGTAATCTAAGTTACTAGTGAAGATGAATGGTTCCCACTACAGAGGCAGCTGTCCTGCATGGTAGGAATAAATATTACCCAGAAGTCAATAATCCTAAGAGAAAACCATCCTCTTACCCTTATGCACTTTCCTCATTAATTTTTCATCTTTTTAGTGATTCATATATATATAAATGAAAAATGGTTAAAAAATAATCTCCATTGAAGTATACAACGTATATATGGGATTGTGAGAGGTGTGTATGAAGCATCTCTGACAATGAAAGCTCTTCTCTTGTTGGAGCAGTAAAGACAGTCCTACTGCTTTTTTGGGGTGGTGTTTTTTGGTTTTAGTTTGGTTGGCTTATGAATACATTTGGTAATGATAGTCAGAAAATTCTGTATTTTGCACAAAAAAAAATGGAAAAGGTACAGCAATGTTGGGAGTGCTTCAGAAGCTTCAAAAGAATGAGTTTGCTTTGTTGATTTTGGAAGTGTAATGTTGAGCGCATTATGGAATTTGTAATTGCTGCTAAATCTGGTGACCAGTGTTACGTGCCACTTCAGGAGTTTACTGTCTTCTGTTGTGTTCCATCTCACACAGATTCAAAATTGTTCTTTTCTGTGATACAGTTAATTAAATGGTCTACTTTGTTCTAAAACAAAAGGGAGAATCAAATAAATATACTTTTGTTAACCTTGGTATTTGTTGATCGTATTTTTCGCTGTAAGAATTATTAAGATAAGCTCTTGCATATGTCGTATGAGATTACAGTCTGTTATAACTAATCACATCCTTGAATACATTTTGCTCATTTATTTAGGTGACCATAGAACCAAAAAAATGACTAAATTCAAGTGTATGCCAACCAAACCAGCAGCAAATGACAACAAATATATTTATCTGGAGTCTGGCTAATTTCTGAAGAGAGGAATGCAAGAATTTTTAAATAATCCTTGAAGTGTAAATTAAAGTAAATAATTTCTTCAAGTAAATGTGGCATGTTCTCTTCTAGGTTTGGATTACCTTATGCATGATGTTGGCAGTTGACTATTTCTCAGAAGATGGGTGTCAGAGTGATAAAAAAAATTCTCATGTAAACTTGAAAAACTTTTTTAAATTCATGTTTTTTACCCTTTGGGAGGATGCTTCGACTGCAAAACTACTGCTTAGGCTAGATTGAAGGTGAGTGTGTGTATATGCATAAATAAAGAAACTTAGGTCCTTTCTTTTTAAGTATAAAAAGATACAGAGAGTTCATGGAGCTCAAAAGTGTAGTATCCTGATCAGGCCCTTTCAGGGAATTCTGCAGCAGCATCAGGTTCCCAGTCAGGCTGAAAGAGAAGTTGGGAACCTGTTTCAAACCAAATTAATGTGGCACATGCAGAAGGAGAACATGGACACTCACTAATGCAGGGCCACTTTTTAAAAATCAGTTTAAATCAAGTCTGGAAAGTTCACCTATGTTCTGGTTTACCATGTCAAAGCTCTGCTTGATCTGTTGTGTTTGACTCTTGCAGTTACAACAAGTTAGAAGAGCTCTCTCCTGGTCTGCAGCTGAAGATGCTTTCTTCAAGGACATTGTGGTGGTCAGAAACTGCAATCCCAGTGTCTGATTGATGGAAAAGGACTCCAGCCTAACATTCCAACCATAACCAGGTCTTGGGTAGTATGTAAGTCAAGAGTGATACTGATCTTTATTACCTGGAGCGGGAGACTATTTGCATTCCAGTGTCTGGTTTTGCCTCCTGTCACTGCATGGCTTCAGGTGAGCAGTGACTACCCTGCAGTTAGGGTGCCTGGCACCAAGCTGCCAGCCCAGAGGGGCACCTGTTGCTGTGCGTACAACACCCTCCCTGCTCAGTAACTTTGGCCCAGCTCTCTGCTCCTCCGCAGTGTGTCATGTTAATATCTGGCCAAGTCCTCTGTATCTGGGGAGTAATTCACAGACTTGTCCTTCTGGGATGCCTGGAGTTCCTGGCTATGTTGAGTCATGACATTTTGCCTTTGTCTTGTACTAGCAGGCAGTTTGAAATGGGGAGCTGTAGCTCTTCTGTCATGCTTTTTAAATTCATTTCTTTCCCTCTCCCCTGGAAACAATTTTGCTCCTCCCTTTCCTATTATGCCAGTGGTCCTAGCTTCAATATCTATAAGAATTTTTCACCTAAGCCCTAGAATTTCTGCTTTACTTTGCTGTAAAAGAAAGACGGTGTTGCTGCTAAGAAGGTATTTGTGTCCATTGTTGATTATTGCTATTTTTTTACTGCCAAAGCAAAATGTTCTGGATTACCAGGTTTTAATTATGATGTGAAAGAGATATACTAGTTTTGTGTAAAACAGGAAAATGATGCTAATGTTTATATAATATATTTATTTCCAGGACTTTAACATACTCTCTAAATAATATCTGGTCTAAAATATGATGATGAATATTGATCTGCCTTTGAAAGGTGTGATAGTGGCAAAGGAACTCTTGGTGCTCGGTTAATAATCATAAATAGTCTGTCATCTTCTGCAGTCCCATTTTATTTGTTCAATTCTTTTGTCAAAGTATGGGGGAATAATAACTAATGTGCCAAAGCTCAAAAGATGTAGGCACAGATGCTAAGGTTTCCGTAGCTCAGCAGCTAAAAATGAAGGGAATTGGTAAACTAAGGAGCACTGCATAATTTATGGGCTCTTACTATGTTAAGTTTTTTTTTTTTACAGAAGGTAGAAATGCCCCTTTCAAAAGCACTGCTACTTTACTTGTTAAAGAGATTTGTCCCCAATGTTTACTACATTAAATTACACTTTAATCCTTTGTCTGTCTTTGCTTAAACCTGGAGGAAAATCCATATAGTAAGGTTTCACAAGCAGATGTACTTGATGTGGAAGCTGAATTTACTTTTAGGATAGAATATGCTGCTCTTAATGCTAGCTGTGCCTGTGTCATCAGTATCACCACCTTCCCTTCCCACAAGTATCTTTACGTATGTTCTTTTTAAAAACACACAGCATTGCTAGGGCTTTACAGATTTTTAGCACACAACTCCATGCATTTTTACTGACACTGAAAGAAGATGTGCTTTTACTTATTTATTATTTTATCTTACTTTGTACAAGGTAAATTGCAGGCAAAGATCTATATGCAGTGAATCAAGTATTGATTATCTCAACAACATTAGTAATAACAGGAACCTATGGTGATACTGGATACGTTGTTTTGTAAAAAGTAGTTTGCTTTGAGATGTTTAATCACTTTTATGTGCACCGTCTTCAAGAAAAAATGCCTTGCCAAATTCCTAGAGAAATAAATTGTTTTATGAGTATGACAGTTACATTTCTTTGGTCTTACTACTTGTACATCAGACTGTAGAAACTTGTGGGCAGAGTCTTCACTGCAAACTTGAATGTGTGGCTTTTAGCCTATGAGAAATGGTGTGTTATTTACAGTGATCCACTGATCCCAGTAGGAGCTACTCACAAGACATATGTCTGTATTTGCAGCATGGATACATATTTTTATGACTGGAGTCTCAATTAATCCAGTTTTTAAAGGATAATGTAAATTTATTGAAAGTCTTGTGATTGTTGTTAGACCTCATTACACAAATCTAAAAGGATAGTTTCCTTTGCTTAGGTTCAGTTTGGATCGTGCCCTCTCTTATAAAATAGAAACATTAAAGACTAAGTA